CAATCAATCAACATGCATACAAGGCCATCGGCCTGACTGGATCGCCCTACCGGGCCTACAGTCTGTCTAGATCTATCCCGAGCCTTCAATATTACTGGTCTGCCACGTGGACCTACAGTCTCCTCGAACTGCTCATAGGGCATGTTGGCCTTCAACACAAAGTAGGACCGCCTAAATCCAACCAACAAGCAAATAACCATGTGCACATAGCTAACATATACTGACATATACAAATATCAAACATATCTATCTCACTGATCATAATCATAGAATTCTTCTGTAACTAGAGTACCGACCTAGTAGGTCACTGACACACCAACCCCTACAGATCATAAAAGCATAACATACTGTCTATCTTGTTTCCGAACTAACAAATCATGACCACATGCAACATACCATAACAATAACAACTAAAGGACCGACCTTGGTGCCGTAGACCCTATCGATATAATGAGGATAACTCACCTCGCAGATGTCGACTCGGAAGGTAAACGCTAACTCTCGAATCACTCGACACAGGCCCCACCACCTATAACCATAGTTCAATATACGCATAAGTCTTTAACCTTATAAGGTACTCCATAGCCCAATAGCCAACCCCTAATAAAGGTCAAATTCCTCAGTCAAGGTCAACAGTCCATGTTGACCTCAACTCGCCGAGTACACCCAGATACTCACCGAGTCCCTTGAAGCACAATCCAACTTGCCGAGTCATCGAGGTGACTCGTCGAGTTCCTTCGAATCCCGAACAGACCTTAAAGGCCACCCGCCGAGTTCCCCCCTTGCGACTTCGACGGATATAATCGCGAACACATTCTTAGTTAAAACTCATCCGACTCGCCGAATTGTTCTTCAACTCGTCGAGTCTCATGACAATCTTCATCGGACTCGCCAAGTTGTTCAACCAACTCGTTGAGTTCAATGGCCATCTTCATGGGACTTGCTAAGTCAACCTTGTGACTCGCTGAGTCCATTTAGTCCTTTTTCCATATAGATCCATTTTGAGCCATGCAGCGGCTCCAAATCACAGATCCAAGCTTCTAGGGCATGCTTATCACGTAAAGTTGCAAACTTTACGTGCATGCATGGCTTTAAAGGCTCAAAATGTAAAATCTAAGCTATTGATGGGTCTTTATGCACAAAGGGGACCTCAATCACGACTAAAGCTGCAACTTTATGCTTCTAGAATCCAAAGAGAGTCCTAATCTGAAGTTATAACTTCAGATCTGGCCCTTAGCTCATCATACCAACTTGATATTCCATGAAAACCCTAAAAATCACCCAATGAAGGAGATTTATAAGGAGAATAACGGTTTGGTACCTTTTGAAGTTGATATTTGAGATAAGTGTTGATTCCCACACTCCAATTACTTCAATCTTCTTCTCCTCCAAGTCTTCTCCCTTCAAGGACTCTCTTTCAAGCTTCAAACACACATAAACACACACACACACACACACAAGGCACACACACACGAATAAGGCTCTCAAGGGTTCTTTAAAACTGTAAGGAGGTCTAAGGGAGGCTAAGGTCCCTTTAAATAGGGGTGCAACCCTAGGATTTAGGGTTTCACTTGCCAGCTCCTACTCGCTGAGTCCCAATATGGACTTATCGAGTAGGTTACTTAACCCGCGATCCTTCTCGCTGTTACTCGAGGAGTAGGTAAACCAACTCGTCGAGTAGGGCCTAATTCAAAAACTCATATTAACAATACCTGAGAATCAGGGCGTTACACCATCCAACCTTCGGTATACAACCATAATCACTAAGGGACTTCCATCATCCCTTTTCACATAATTTAGATCCCGTTTGAGAGTTCGATCTCCATCACCCACTTATACTGCGAGGGCGTATTAATGTATATTATATGTCTATTATTAGCCCACTTAGATTAGCCTAGTTTGTATAAGCCCAATATGTATTGGATCTTTGTATTTTGTACATATATATGTTATTGAATGAAGGTAAATCACTTACATAAAAATATTAGAATCCTAATACGTTTTAGAATACCATCCTCATTATGTCTGCTTAGAACAAAATTGTTGATTGGATCATATATGCTCTGGCCCCAAAATAACTATAACAATAATAGATGGATGAGCCCTGATGCCTCATGTCACCTTGCTGGCTTGGGCGAGGGCTTAGGTTACCCTGGTCACCTTCATATATCTCTCTGTCTCTATCTCTGTCTCTCTTTCTCTCTCTCTCTCTCTCTCTCTCTCTCTCTCTCTCTTTCTCTCTCTCTCTCTCTTTCTCTCTCATTCTCATTTACCCTCCTTCAACTCCTTTGTAATTATGGTTAGATTGATGTTTCATAGTTCAGATATTTATACACATATAATAACATTGTCAAAATTTATTATATCTATTTGGTTTTCTCTCAAATGACTTCATATAAAGAGAAGAGGAAAGAGAATGGGGATGGTTGTGAACAACATCATCACAAAAATGTACCTAATAAAAAACCAAAGTTTTTATCCAATTAAGTTTTGATTATGATAAACTTAATATAAGATGTCAAAATAGTAGATTTGAACAACAGAAAATTAAATTGTACGATTTTGTTGTAAAGAATAAAATAACATCGATTAAAGTGCCAATACATATAAATACTATCATTTTCTTGTAATTGCCCAAAAACAAAATCGATATTACAAAAACATAATCTAATAAAATAACAGTTTTTATAATTGAATTCTAATAAATTAAGGACAAAATTGCAAAAATGGTACATGTGGTTGTCAATAATTTGTGCCTTTGGTCCAAAATGAAATGTTGATGCATCACTGGTCCAAAATTGTATCTTTTTAGTGATTTTGGTCCATATCCACTTAAAAAGACAATTATACCCTTTATATTTGTTTTTCTTATTTTTATATGAATTTTAATGATTTTAAGTAATTAAAAATTAAAGAATGGGCCCCCACACACATACTCCCCCCTCTCTCACACACACATACTCTCTCTCTCTCTCTCTCTCTCTCTCTCTCTCTCTCTCTCTCTCTCTCTCTCTCTCTGGTGGTTCCACTCATCTCTTCCACCTCTCTGACCTCTCTTTTTCTCAATATGAAAAATACACTTAAGAACACCCCCGACTACCACCACCATCTGCCAACGCCGCCAGACGCCACCGATCTGTTTGTACATCAGGGAAGGGGTGGCAATGACTTTGTTTTGTACTATAGCTCAGGTGGAAGGAAGGGACAGTGGTGGTGACTGAGTAGTCGTCGCCTGTCACCACCGTTTTCCAGCCATCACCATTTCCCAACCATCACCATCCACCACTAACCACATCCATTTCCCTACCTTTACCTCCATATCTCCTTCCTTAAATCGATAAAACCTTTCATTCTTAGATCCTAAAATCCCTATTTCCCCCACATCTCTCTCTCTCTCTCTCTCTCTCTCTCTCTCTACGCCTGCCAAAAAACCCCAATTTCACCCATACATCTCCCTTATTAGAAAAACGCACGCAGATCAAATCAAAGGGTGCTCAAACCCAAATTGAATCACCCACCAGAAATTGTTACCAAGTGGGTGGCGTGCTAAACGAATCGACTCAAAGAGACGGCGAGAGACTTTAAACCCAAATCGAATCACCTACCAGATATGGACCTTCGGTGGTGTATATTGGCATTAACAATGACGACAACGATAATGGGGAGACGGGAACCAAGTGGAGCAATGCCACCACCTATCAAAGAATCCTCAATGTCTTTTAATTCGTTTGCTTTAATTTTCTTCTATCAATTTTTTTCTCCAAACCCTATTAGTTGCAATGGTACCAATTTTTGGTTTAGATGGAATGGGAAAGGGGTGGCGATGGAGGAGATGGTAAGGCGACGGTAGATAGTGTTGACTAGGGATGAGCATAGGTGGGTACCCGCCTCATTTGGCGAAAACCGGAACCGGCAGTTCCTAGAAAGTTAGAACCGGAACCGGAACCGGAACCGCTCTAGGCGGTTCTTAAATTTTTGGAACCAGTCCTGGAACCGGCGGTTCCGGTTCCGGGAGCGGGTAACCCGGTTACATTAACTTTGTTAACTTTTGTCGATAAAACTGCAACTTAGTTAGATCCAAATCGAATCAATTCGGACCAAAGAGGGACAAAATTGGACCAATATATTCTAAACCGATCTAAGTAACACACACATATTTATATGAAATACTATTATATATATATATATATATATATATATATATATATATATATATATATATATATATATATATATATATATATATCGGTTTCGACGGGTACCCAGCGGGTAGCGGTTTCGAAAAAATGAGAATTGGAACTGGAACCGCTTAAGGCAGTTCCAGTTCCAAAACCGGCAGTTTCGAGGCGGTTCCGATTCCAAAAGCGGATACCCGGTTCCGATGCTCATCCCTTATGGTGACGATCGATTGTGTTTAGGTCGCTGGTGGTAAGATGTAGGCACGATGACCATGGTAGTGGTGCAATGATATTTGTGTTCTGTGTGTCGATGGAAGAAAGACAAAGATAGGGAGAACTACCGAGAGAGAGGGGGAGGAGGGTAGGGTAAGATGGGGGTGGGGTGGGTTTGATTTTTTTTTTTTGGTTTTTCTTTTAATTATAAGATAAGAAAATAATAAAAAAAAGTTAGAAAATAATTATTTAAAGGACATATTAATCATTTAAGGTTGAGTCTGAACCAAAAACACACAAAAATGTTAACTATAAGGACCAAAACAATACAAGGTATCCAAAATTGGACCATTCGTTTTGGATAAAAAAAACACAGAATTTTAACAACCACACGGACCATTTTTGCAATTTTTTCTAATTTAGGAGTTATTCTCTCTCTCTCTCTCTCTCTCTATATATATATATATATATATATATATATATATATATATATATATATATATATATATATATATATATATATATATATATATATATATATATATATATATATATATCCGAAAGAGTTTAAACCAAACATAACCAAAATATACCTAAAATTTATCTCATTATTATGACAATATTAACTAGACCTGATAATTCGAAACACGAATACACGACTGATAATTCGAAACACGAATACACGAGTTTGTGAGTAAAACGACACCGAAAGGAGATGAAAAAAAGAGAGAAAACTTATTCTCTTTATGTATCCGTCTTGTATAAAAATTGTCTTATGAAAACAAGATGAATATACGAATTGTGAGGTATAACATCGACAAATGTATTTATTATTATTTTATTTTATTTTAATAAGACGGATTAAACTGTAGTGGAGACCTAGTAAAGGGATCGGTTCCCAGTTAAGTTATAAAAGGAAAGCCTGAACCTCTTCACTTCATATCTTCATTTCATATCTGCTCATCGAGAGAGGCACCAGCAATGGCTTCTTTGATCCACAAGCACTTCTTTCCTCTTTGCAAATCCAAGTCCAACTTTTACCCAGACGCCCCTTTCCTCAATCGTCCTGCACTTGCTTTTTCGTTTGGTCTCAAGAAGCCCTCCTTCTCCTCCTTCCCGTGTAGCCCAATCGTGTGTAAGGCTGTTTCTGTGAAACCACAAGAGACTCAAGTCGAAGGTCTTAACATCGCAGACGATGTTACTCAGGTTCCTTTGCGCTTATTTCTTGCCTATTTCCCCATGACTACATCATTTCCTTTGGTCTTTTTGTTTATTTACTGCTTAGACTTGTCTCTGAATAAATTAATGAGATCTACAACTTGATAACCTATGTGATTGGTCAAGTTTTTGCGTATTTATGACAGCTTATCCAACCAACAACATTCGTTTGTGGTAGACCGAAGCATGTGTATAAGAGTGGTTTTGGAATTGAATTTGGTCAATTACGATAGAGATGTCAATGCTTAGGGTTTTAACCAATTCTTATTCTACTGCCTTTTTGAGTTAAAGTCCTTATGAAATTGATATGGTGTTTATAGATATTAGCGCAATCCGGTGACCTCTTGGCTAGTACTCTAATGAAATTAATCAGTAAACATTTGGCATCGGAGTGGATAGTTTTTGTCCTACTGTATAGTTTGTGTTAAACTATGCAAGCAATATATCGTTTTAGGTTCACTTATATAAGAGATTATGTATGGAAAGAGGATCATGTATCCTTGATAAAAATTTAGTCTAATACATAAAATGGAGCCTTTGTTGGTCATGAGAAGTATCTAATTCAAATTACATCTTTTAAAAGAGTCTTGTTCAGAGTCGCTGAAACATCAATTGGGATTTAAGGTGTGGGGTGATTTAATTCTAAAGCATTCTTGTGCTGCTTTTGGAATTTCATTCTTTTGTGTTGTGATAAATAATGCAGCTTATTGGAAAGACTCCAATGGTGTACTTGAATGACATTGCAAAGGGATCAGTTGCTAATATTGCTGCCAAGCTTGAAATTATGGAGCCATGCTGTAGTGTGAAAGACAGGTGATTAAACTGCAATGTGTGTAGACTTTAGACATACATGTATTTGTTGCTCAAATTAAATTGTGTGATGTCTTCTGTAATAGTAATACATAGGATCTAAAAGATTTCAGCATTATCTTAATAAAATTGTATTCTAGTTATCTAGTACTGAAAGGCCTGTTAACTTTTTCTGGCTTCAGGATAGGGAACAGTATGATAGCAGATGCTGAAGAAAAAGGACTTATAACACCAGGGAAGGTAAAAAAAAAAAAAAGTTACAATTTTGTGAATGAGAAGATGGAATGTGATGAATTGACACAGTAGTTTTGATTGTTTTCAGAGTATATTGGTTGAGCCTACAAGTGGGAACACTGGCATTGGGCTTGCATTTATAGCTGCTTCAAAAGGGTATAAGCTGATCTTGACAATGCCTGCATCAATGAGTCTGGAGAGAAGGGTTCTTCTAAAAGCATTTGGAGCCGATCTTGTTCTCACAGACTCCTCAAAGGGCATGAAAGGAGCAGTTCAGAAAGCTGAAGAAATAGTCAACAGCACACCCAATTCTTACATGCTTCAACAATTTGATAATCCTGCTAATCCAAAGGTAATTCTTTTGTTAAATCATTTATTTGTAAAGTATGTGTTTGTGTATGTCTTACACTTTTACATAATACATACAACTTCTGTGCAGGTACACTATGAGACAACTGGCCCAGAAATCTGGGAAGACACCAAAGGGAAAGTGGATATATTTGTTGCGGGGATTGGAACTGGTGGAACTATATCTGGGGTTGGTCGCTTTCTCAAAAATCAAAATCCTGATGTTAAGGTAGCTAGCTTAACAGTTTATGACTTTTTCTTAAATTCAAATATATATATATATATATATATATATATATATATATATATATATATATATATTTAATGGAATCCTGTTGGTTTATATTTTACCTGATGAGATTAAACTTATCAGGTGATTGGCGTGGAGCCTACAGAGAGTAACATATTGTCTGGTGGAAAGCCTGGTAATTCCTAAAGATAATCGTTAGTTTGTGATTCCAAGTTTTGTGTTTTTTTTTCTAGCTTTTATTATGTGATAACTGCAGGCCCTCACAAAATTCAAGGGATTGGAGCAGGTTTTGTACCAAGGAACTTGCATCAAGATGTGCTTGACGAAGTAATAGAGGTCTGGTTTCTCTTCCCTATGGCTATCTATTAGTATAGTATAATCGTAAATAAACATTCTAGTATTTTATATATGAAAATGTTTTGGATCATTTACAAGAATGCAAGTCTTTACAACTTGAACAAACCAATTCCAAAAAAGCTTTCTATTCATGTGGTTGTGAATGCCTTTTATGGACACTAATGTACAAAAAATAAGGTATGGTCGGATGATACAAAACCCTTTCTTTTATCAAACTTTTCCAGATTTCCAGTGATGAAGCTGTCGAGACTGCAAAGCAATTGGCACTCCAAGAAGGCTTGTTGGTAAGTAAGGGTTGTTGGTGGATTTTCTTATTTTGTAGTATTTATTATCTTATATTTCATTTTGGTTTTAAATTAGTGGAACGGTCCGTGTCTTGTGGCTTAACACCTTTTTTTTTTTTTTTGAAGGTGGGCATATCTTCTGGAGCAGCAGCAGCTGCTGCCATCAAGGTTGGAAAGAGACCTGAGAATGCAGGAAAACTTATTGCAGTATGCATCTCATACCCTTACTTTTAACACACATATATACGGGCACATAAAAAAAATAGTTTTTCTTCCAGCAACTTCCGAGCTGACCCACAGGGACCTGGTGGGTGGTTGGCATAAGGGCCCACTGCCCACAAGAAGTGGAATTGACTATATCTCTAAATTATGTAAATAAATGATTGTTGCAGGTTGTGTTTCCTAGCTTTGGGGAGCGATACCTATCCACAGTTCTTTTCCAGTCAATCCGGGAAGAGTGCGAGTCAATGCAAGCAGAGCCATGAAACAAGTGTGTGCGAGTGTAGTGTGTCGGTTTTGATCATTTAGAAGTCGCCCAAAGGACATGGTAGAGATCCAGCAAACAGGGGCTCATCATTTATTACATGTTTATTTATTACTTGGAGTAGGAGTAGGATTTGAAATAAAGCATAGTCCTTAATATGGCTGGCTATGCACCAAATCGTTGTGTTTTCTTTAATCTATGGTTTATGCACACGATAATGAGATTTCGCATTCATAACAATTAATATTATTCACTTGTTCATAACAATTACATGAATCCTCCTACTTGTTGTGCCCCAATGTTTTGTTTTTCACGCCTACGGTTCTGCCATTTTCAAACTTGTATGTTTGGTAATATGATAATTTTACCCTTATTGATAATTTTTACCCTTTTTCATAGTTCAATGACAAAATTACATAAATGGTCTTGATGGTTTTTTATGAATGTAATCATGTGGTTTTTAAATCTTGCATTGTTGATTCCTGTGGTTTCATTTTTATTACAAATTTGATTTGAAATTACTATTATACTCATTTTTATTTTATTTTTCTTTTATATAGTTTTATTTAAAAAAATAAATAAACTTGACAACTACCTTCAACCCCATCTCCAACCCTCCTATCTAACAATCCCTAATCCACGACCTCCACCCCATCATACACTATCCATTTCCTCCACCAATGACCTCTTCATCTGCTTAGCATCCTAAAATGATTCTTCATCAATAAAGATCTCATGGGAATCGATCTTGAGTCCAAGTCGAGTTGGTGAACGTGACCCACCAACCTCCCTATCAAACTCTCACAATCGTAGTCCGAAAACCATTTTTAGTTATGTCTCCTAGTCTCCCACCACCCTAAAGAAAAGAGGTAGGCGATTTTGATAGAATTGAGGGGACAAAAGATGAAGCAAGAGTTGGCATTTGTATACCACCAAAGAATGTTTTGTTGTCGATGAGATGTAGATATGACCCTTTAAAAACTGAAGCTCTTGTCAAAACTGAATATTGAATAGAGGTTGATCACAGGTAATGGATTCTTCATCATTAACGTGTTTCATTTTTTTTTACACCTACCACTCGCCGCTAACTTTCACCAGTATCATGGATAAATAGAGGTTGATTACATGTGATGGATTCTTCTATTAGGACTTATTGTAGATGGATTTCGATTTGTAATTCTTCTATTAATTTTGATGGCAGACGAGAAAGCTTTGAAATTTGGGGAATCGACAAACCAAAAAAGGTAAACTAGCACCAGATGTCCAAATGTTTCATTTTGTTGCGAGTCTGGTTTAAAATCTTTTAAATTTTTTTCAAATTACAGATTCCCATTTTATTTGTTTTTTTACTTTACTATTATTTAATTACATAGAGCCCCCTCTCTATTATTTAATTACAAAAGCCCCCCCCCCTTTCTATTAGAAACCACCGTACAACTCATCTTCCCCACCATGGCGCTGCCACCACCAAAAACCACCATCACCATCGTCTCCGTCAGCTTCCAATAATGGTGTTTGATTATGCAATTTTCACAAGATGAAGCTAATGAATCTCAAACTAAATCAATACTAAACAAACTCAAATCAAAATTACTTTGTAATCAAAACTGAACAAAATCAAAGTCAAATTGTTGAAAATCAAAACCTATTGAAAATCCCGATCCAAGAATCAAAATCAAAGCTAAAGTGAAAGACCTAATAAAAATCCAGATTCCAAAAGAAAAATCAAAACATGATGAAGATCCCAATTCCAAAGCAACCGACGATTTCAGTATCTCGATTCCAAAATCAAAACTAAAGCCAAAGATACAATTATAACTTGCGGAGCTAGTCTCGAGGAAGCGACCAATGATTCCAAAGCAACCAACGATTTCATGCCCTCGATGGTGGTGGTGTAACAGTTGGTAATTGTAGGTCAAGTTCGTCGATCGAAGCACCACAAACCCCGTTGTAATAAGACTTAATGTATGTAATTATGTGTTAATAAAGTATGTTAAAGGATTATGACTCATAATTACTTTTGGCATATCTCAAAATGTTCTACAAAGTGGCTATTGCTAATGATCTGATAAAAAAAAAATCACAAAAATGGATATTAATAGTGACGTTAAAAAAATAAATTTTTGCATCGAGTATAATAAGGACTAATTTATAGGACTATGCGGATATAAAGAACGTCAAAAACGGATGTCGTATGTAAAGTTATGTCCATTATAAGATTTCAAATCAGTATAATATTGATTTTCTTAATAAACAAAAACCAAAGGATCCATTGAGCTAATTGCACACCTCATATGGAAATTCGAGAACATTTTTGAACTCACACATAGGTCTAATATTTGATTTCATAATCACAATATTTTTAAACTAAAAATTTAGTAAAATCGCAAAAACTATCAAATCAGAACGAATTAAATGTAACATCCCAAAATACAACTCAATTATATATATATATATATATATATATATATATATATATATATATATAAAATCATATGCTGAACGTCATATCATAAATCCATACGTCAAATATCTCAAACCATAATAAAATGTCGTGATACAATTGTATCAAATCAAACTAAGTATCAAAACAATCTCCCAGGACAAAAACTGAAGCTGTAGTGTGTGCGATGCCATCATCCCGAGCTCTTCCCTTTACTTACGGAAGTACCTGAAACCAAAACTGAAATTGTAAGCACGAAGCTTAGTGAGCTCCCCCAAATTACCACATACCATACAAACATAAAACAACTAATGGGCCTTGCCCACTACATCGGAGCGAAGTCCGGAAACTGCATCGGACCGAAGTCCGGAACTAACCAGGGCCTTGCCCTCTGCATCGGATCGAAGTCCAGAACTACTAAGGCCTTGCCTCCTGCATCGGACCGAAATTCGGAACTAACTGCATCGGACCGAAGTCCGGAACTGACTGCATCGAACAGAAGTCCGGAACTACTGAACATAGCATAGCATAAACATATCAACTAACATAACAACACATAACACGCAAACCTGTCTGAGCCACGAAGGCGTCAAACATACTAACAACTGCATCTGACCGAGGTCCGGAAACTACTGCTAGCTAAACGGGCCGGCATTGTGGCCTTTGACTCGTTCCTACTGGAAGGAAACTCACCTCGTGAACTGGCTGCTGAGTGTATGGCTCTGGAAGCTATCTGCTGCTGCTCCGGTATCTCCCCGGCTGAATGAACTCTGACTTTGGCCTTGGATCTTTGCTCTACACTTCCTCTTTTTGGTCCTTTCTTCTTCTTCATCTTTTTCTTCAATCCTTCAAGAATCCACACAAAACACTTTAATCATACAAGGAATGGTTTAGGGTTTCTCAAAAGCTCTCTCTGAGGGTGAAGGAGGCGAGTTGGGGCACATAACATTGCTTAAATAGTGAGCAAACCCGGGGATTTAGGGTTTCTTCCTGGCAGGCGGACTCGCCGAGTCCCGAATATGAACTCGTCGAGTCGCCGACTTACACGTGCTCGAAATCCCGTCTCTACTCGATGAGTCGGGCTATAGACTCGACGAGTCCCTCTTGAAAACTTCTAAATAAATAACATGGAAACAACATACCAGAGACGGGTCGTTACAATTCTACCCTACTTGACTCAGACTTCGTCCTCAAAGTCTGCTACGGCTGAATCTGCAAATAACTCTGGGTAGTGCTCTCTCATCTCATCCTCAGCCTTCCACGTCCACTCAGACCCCTTCCAGTGCTGCCACTGCACCTTCACTAGCTGAATTACCTTGTTCCTCAAGGTCTTTGTCTTCCGGTCTAGAATCGCGAACGATCTCTCAATATAATTCAGGCTGCTATCAACCTGAATATCTTCTAAGGGAACAACTGCTGACTCATCCACCAAACACTTCCTCAACTGAGACACATGGAAAGTGTTGTGGATCTAGCTAAGCTCTGCCGGAAGATCCAACCGATAAGCAACCCGACCCACTCGGGCTAAAACCCTGAAAGGACCAATGAACCTAGGGTCCAGCTTGCCCCTCTTCCGAAACCTGATGACACCCTTCCAAGGTGAGACCTTCAGAAGGACCATATTGCCTACCCGGAACTCCAAGTCTGAACGCCTCCTGTCGGCGTAGCTTTTCTTCCGACTCTGCGCAGTCTGCAGTCTACTACGAACCTGCTGAATCAACTCGGTCGTCTTGAGCACCACCTCCGTGCTCCCAATGACTCGCTGACCGACCTCGCCCCAACAAATTGGGGTCCTGCACTTCCTCCCATAAAGCATCTCAAAGGGAGGTCGATCAATGCTCGCATGATAACTGTTGTTATACTAAAATTCCGCTAACGGAAGATACGTATCCCAACTGCCACCGAAGTCTAGGACACATGCCCGGAGCATGTCCTCGAGAGTCTGAATCGTCCTATCGCTTTGCTCGTCCGTCTGAGGGTGGAAAGCGGTGTTGAAATGGAGACGAGTACCCATCTCGCTGTGGAACCGCTTCCAGAATCTGGATGTAAAACGAACGTCTCGGTCTGACACCACCGATACCGGCACTCCATGACGTGCCACTACCTCCCGCACATAGATATCGGCTAACTTTTCCGCCGATATGCTCTCCTGGATCGGTATGAAATGAGCACTCTTCGTCAACCGATTCACTATTACCCAAATCGAATCTACCCCACGTGCGGTCCTAGGAAGCTTGGTGATAAAATCCATGGTGATGTCCTCCCATTTCCACACGGGAATGTCTAACGACCGCATCTTGCCGTGAGGCCTCTGGTGTTCTGCCTTGACCTTCCTGCAGGTCAGGCACCTCTTTACATACCAGGCGACATCCCGCTTCATGTAGGGCCACCAATAATTGGGTCGAAGATCTCTATACATCTTTGTCGCCCTTGGGTGGATAGAAAATCGAGACTTATGAGCCTCATCCATCAACACCTGCCATACTCCGCCCCCGTACGGTACCCACACTCTCCCATGAAGGGTCAACAACCCCCGACTATCATAATCAAACGAAGCTACTCGGCCCACTATCCTCTCACACTTCTGCCTCTCCTCCTTGAGGCCCTCAACCCGAGCCTCCCTGATCTGTTCCAACAACGGAGTAATCACTGTCATCCTCAGACATAAGTCTCTGATAGGGGCTGCTGTCACCTTGCGGCTTAGGGCATCGGCCACTACGTTGGCCTTCCCTGGATGGTAAAGGATTTCACAATCATAATCCTTCAGCACATCCAACCACCTCCTCTGTCTCATGTTTAGACTCGGCTGATCCATAAGGTACCTCAAACTCTTGTGATCCGTGTAGATGGTACAACGGACCCCATAAAGGTAAATGTCTCCAAATCTTGAGGGCAAACACCACCACCCCCAGCTCTAAATCGTGGGTAGGATAGTTAGCCTCGTGAGGCTTCAACTGTCTCGA